GTGTGCGAGAGAGAGAGTCTGTGTGTGTGTGAGTCTGTGTAGCTGTGTCTGAGGAGCGTCCAGCACTCAGTAAACGGGTTCTGCTTACTTTGGCAGTCGCCCAGTCCATCTGTGTTGCCCTGTTCCACGTCTTGCTCGAACGGCCATCTGCGCGCACACACACACACACACACACACGCACACACACACACACACACACACACACACACACGCACACACACAGTGAGCAAGTGACTTCAACACCTCCATTTCACACTCACTGACTTCAATCTCAAGAACATTTTCAAACAATATTAATAGAAGTTTGAGTGAATGAATGTCATTCAAACAATATCATAAGAAAATGGAGCAGAAAACAGGATCCTAAATGTGACGTGAATATTAATAAAAACACAGAAGTTTCTTTCTGAAGTTTCACTGATGCTGGTTGGCTAGCGCCCACCTCTGCGCACACACACACACACACACACACGCACACACACACACACACACACACGCACACACACAGTGAGCAAGTGACTTCAACACCTCCATTTCACACTCACTGACTTCAATCTCAAGAACATTTTCAAACAATATTAATAGAAGTTTGAGTGAATGAATGTCATTCAAACAATATCATAAGAAAATGGAGCAGAAAACAGGATCCTAAATGTGACGTGAATATTAATAAAAACACAGAAGTTTCTTTCTGAAGTTTCACTGATGCTGGTTGGATTGTAATGAAGAGAGGCCTGTTATCATTCAACCCTCGAGCATCCAGCGAGAGCTTCATAATCTCAGAGATGAGACCGCTGATGAGAACGAAACCGAGCTCAGATGAGATCTGAACCTCAGGAATCACGAGAACTCCTTAAACACACATGAACAGAGCCATGAGCAGATCAGAGCTCAGATGAGAAACTTCATAGTGTGGCCAATTCTATAACACCAGAAAGCAAATAAAAAATTCCATTGAGGGACGATATTTTCCCCCTTAAACTGATTTCCAGGGACATTTTTTAACCTTTGTAAGGAGAAATTGTCTAACCATATTAAACGTAAATTCATATATTTATTCAATAAATGCAGAGGCGGACAGTAACTAAGTACATTTACTTGAGTATTGTGGCCAAGAGGAACTACGCTAAAAAACTAGAACACCAGTTTTCTGCGAATGAGCCTGCATCAGTGTGGAAACGCCTGAAGGACATCACCAACTACAAGACACCATCCCCCAGCACTGAGGCCAATCAACAACTTGCTGAAGACCTGAATGAGTTTTACTGTAGATTTGAAACTCCCAGTCTAACACCCCACACCCGCTCTGAACATCTCTCCACACAACCATCAACACCTCCTGCAACCCCCCTCTCCCCCACTCCTACGTTTCAGATCAGTGAGGATGATGTGCGCCAGGTCTTCAGAAAGAACAAGAGAAGAAAAGCACCAGGCCCAGACGGTGTGACACCAGCCTGTCTGAAAACCTGCACCTGACCAACTGGCCCCCATCTTCTCACAGATCTTCAACAGATCACTGGAGCTGTGCAAAGTCCCTGCCTGCTTCAAACGCTCCACCATCATCCCCGTCCCAAAGAAACCCAAGATAACAGGACTTAATGACTACAGACCTGTGGCCCTAACGTCTGTGGTCATGAAGACATTTGAGAGGTTGGTGTTGACTTATCTGAAGGACATTACTGGACCCTTACTAGACCCCCTGCAGTTTGCTTACCGAGCAAACAGGTCCGTGGATGATGCAGGCAATATGGGACTGCACTTCATCCTGCAACATCTGGACAAAACAGGGACTTATGTGAAGATTCTGTTTGTGGACTTTAGCTCCGCTTTCAACACCATCATCCCAACACTCCTCCAGACCAAACTAACACAGCTCCCTGTCCCTAGCTCTATCTGTCAATGGATCACCAGCTTTCTGACAGATAGGCAACAGCTAGTGAGAATTGGTAAATTCACATCCAACAACCGCACCACCAGCACTGGCACCCCTCAGGGTTGCGTCCTCTCCCCACTGCTCTTCTCCATCTACACCAACGACTGCACCTCTAAAGACCCCTCTCAATAAATGCACTGCTCTGTCGTCTCGTCTGAGGCTGGGACTCTAAACAGTGTTCTGTGCTCGTCTCTGCAGCCAAACACAGAACAGTTAGCGTGTTCTGCTCAAACTTTCATCATGGCATTAGAACTAATACACCGTTGTCGCTTGCGAAAACACAATAACGGTGTCGTGGGTGTAAACTTACAGATTAAGGGGCGGTGATATTATAATGAGATCCCTTTGCAACGCCACCAAGCGAGCGAAATCAGACGCGCTCGTTTTCTCAGACGCTTGCAGAAAAAGGCTTCCCAAAACTAAGTTACTGGGTTCATCTTTTTCAGGTTTCCTTGGTTGGTAGATGCACCGGGGACCTGATTATAGCTCTTACAACCTGGAAAAGTCAGATTTCCATGATATGTCACCTTTAATATAAAAAATCCTCTCTTCATTTCTCCTCTTCTCCAGTTTGCTTCACAAACCTGGCATTTTGTATTACACATGTTGTTAGCTCTTAGGCGAATTGCTTCGCTTGGATAAAAGCATCTTCTAAATGCATGAATGTAAAATGTTAATAAAGCAGATAAGCATTCGATCGTTGAGCATCGCTGTCCTCAAAAAGCCTGTTTGCCTGTTTACTCATTCAGCTCATATCAGCCAGACTCTCTGTTTGCTTTAATCATTCAGCGAGGCCTGGCGGTCCAAACCAGCAGCGCTCTTCATTTACTAACCGCGCGCTGTAACCTGATAAACGGGTGTGAATGACAGAGCGGAATACACACTTCTCTGGGTTATAGACGCTCAGCTCCTCCAGAAACAGGCTGTCGTTCAGGAAGCCGCTCCGCATCTTGGCCAGGAACTTCAGCACGATTCCTCGCTCCGATCCCAGGAAAACCACGGTGTGGTTGCGATGAGGGCCGGCGGCGTTATCCACGGCTATACGCGTCAGACGATATCTGCCAGACAGACAGAATACAGTCTTAACTTCATTCATGAACACTAGGACCATGACCTTTCAAGATGAAGATGAGACGAGACATCATTAAACATGCATTATCTTTGACGAAAAAAAGACAAGACTAAAATGTAGTTTAAAAAATAAGAAAACTCTCTTTATCCAAAATGTCTCTATATTCTTCTTCTTCAAAAAAAAAAAGAGGGGTTGAGTAAATATGACAAAAACTAAAAAGGAATTTGATACAGAACTAAGACTAGATTAAGGAATTCTATTACAATGAATTTACATAGATTTTCAGACTCGCTAAAGGAAATAAAGCGTTATCTGGCGACTGCCGTTCCAATTAGCAGCTCATCTCAGTCTTAATCAAATGTATGTATAATTTCCAAATCCGTATGCAAATACATTTTCAGGCTAATTAAAACTGGCAAGATGGAAATAAGACGACAAATAAATGATACACTTTCCAAATCTGTGGAGTCTTTGAAGACGAGAGAAACAGATACAGACGCTTCTTCAGCAAATGTGTTTTCAATAACTCGGTTTTACTGGGGCACATTCACTCAAACCCAACTGAACAAACTTATCAGGCTGAAACCAGACGTCGCTTCAAAGAGTCTCGTTCTGCTAGAAACAGATGATTCTCTCATAATTCATTTCATTATAGCAAAACAGACAGCAGTCTTTCACTGTGCTTTTATAAGGAAGATACGTCATCTTTCCTTCAGGGTTGAGCTGATTGAAAGATCTCATGAATCGCTCAGGTTTCATGTCTGAATGCAATGCAAATGACTCGATTCATCCATGAAAATGAGCAGCGCTTATGAAGATGGACTTGATTATTTATTTGCATGACAATAATCTCCATGCATGATGCAGAAGGACCTCTGACCCGACTCGACTCACCGGACCATCGTCTTGAGGAACCACGGCCGATTGGCGATGGAAGGAACGGCTTCGTCCATCAGCGGGTGAAGCTTGATGAAGTTCAGCGTTTCATCCGGGAACTCGTTGGACACTTTGAATTTCTCTCCAGAGGAAGATCCTGCGCAGACGCCTGGCCTGAAGACGACAGCGGAACATCAAGCATCTCTATCTACTGCATCAGTGATATGAACATCTCAATGCTACAATCACGACAACAAGCTTAAAGCACTGTAATGAGTCTCAGCTGCGACAGATATGTTGGCTGAAGTCAGGTTTATGGTTCTGCGCTGCTGCTGAATGGGAAATGCATTGCTTTATTCCCACCACAGAGGAAACAGAATTACAGAGACGCGGTTGGCATGGTCGCTCTAATTAACACTTGACCTCGTTTCACACAAACACATCATTTTATGTTAATCAGCGCAGGCGATAGTCCCGCCGATCATTACACAAAGACGAGCCATATGGAAGCAGATCTTCGCTTTGTAAAAACGCTCCTGTGAGACGATTTAATCAGTTTACGTGCTCGCAAACACTTTTGTGCATGTAACAGATACAAACACGTTTAAAGAAAATACAATAAAATATAAAATAATTAATTAAAAATAAAATAAATAAAATAATAAAATAAAATTTTTAGTAGTTAATTTATTGGTCATTGGATAAATATTCAAAATTCTTCAGGTTAAAAATTCTTGTTTTATTTTCTTGTCATATTAGAGTTAAAGGTTTTTGGGTTTCTCTTTTTATCGCTCCATAAATCAGAAAATACTGTCAGCAGACAGAACACAAACACATTTTCACCATGTTTTCAGGAGTAAAATGTTGTATAAATCAGTGTGAATGAAATATGAACAAACCTTCAGAATATAGAGAGGAATAAAACTGTAACGTTTGGTGTTTGTAAGAGAATAAACTCTTTAATGATTGAAATCGACAGATGCAAATAGATAACGTGCAATACAATAAACACTTAAACGTGTGTTTTGGATGTTTTCTCTCCACTATTCTGAAAGAAGAGACTTGATATGGAAGCGAAATAGACTGAAAAGTGCATGAAACACTGGTTTGGTCTGCAGTGTCTCGCTGGTGAATGAGGAGAATGACTGAGAGCTGGACTGTAAGCAGAGACCCAATGGAAGCGTGTGGGATGGATACCTGGGTCTGGGCACCTTTTCCTCGGGGACGGGGGTCCAGGTGGAATCGGGTGACTTCTGCTCTTTGAAGCGTCCGGTGAAGGCCGCCGAGATCTCTGCCATGTCATAAGCGCAGACGGCTGATCCCGGGATACTGCAACACACGGAGACACGCTTTCAGCAAAATAACACAACTGTGAATCATTCCTGCTCGGACACGAGCGGCACACAAGGCCGGATTGTGATCGTATGAACTGGCAGAAGAGCCGTGGGTCAGAAGCTCTGACTAACACACCCGCATTTGTGTGCCATCATCACGGGAATCTCACATTTCCCAGCGGCCTGCTGGAGCTCAATGCTGACCTGCTATTCTCTGTACCTGTTGTACGGCGTGGAGAAGGTGGCCATGACCACGTCGTGGCCGCTGATGTGGATGACGTCGGTGACGGCCTGCAGGATGTTGAAGTAGAAGTGTGAGTCTCCAGGGATGGAGCAGTTGAGGCGCGTCTTCAGGAAAGAAGTCCACTGTTTCTCCAGCACTCGCTGCGAGCCGCCGCGGTCGTTCTTACACACGCGAGCCACTCGCGGAAACACCACCTGATCGGAGAGACACGTTAAACACGTCCTACATACACGTCACGCTCTCAAAAACACTAGAAACGCTTCAGGAGAATTAAACTGAGCCTGGATTCTGCATTTCTGTCCCCTGATTGAGTCACCTTTGCTGGTTTAAAAGACAATAATAGGGCTGGGTTGAAAACATTGATTTCTTGATTTGAATCGATTCTCATTTTGATGAACCAATATCGATTCTTAAATCCAAAGAATAAATGTGTGCTTTTTTCAGTTGATGCGCGAACAAAGCTTCTCTGAACATTATTTGTAGCTCCTGCCATCCAATAACCACAATAATCCTTTCTACTTTTGATATGAAACAAAGTCTCAGCTTTCAAATTCTGTCAACTATTCAATCAATAAATGTGTTTTTGTGGCTCTTTAACGTGTGGTGTCAGATCCTCTTTACTACTAGTTATAGCAGCAAATAAACATGAACGAACATCAGAAGAATCAGAGCAACTCACTGAAATCAATAATGAATCATGTAATCGATCAATCATTGATTTAACCGCAGAAAGACGCCAATAAATCAGCTTTATATCAATAATGTCATGTCATATTATAATACATTATATTACGTAATACATTTTTATAATAAAAACTGCCTTCTGTGCATTTAAATTTAAATGCTTATTAATCTTTTTAATATAGTGACAGGGTTTATTGTGTAGTTTGCAGCATTAATTGAGAGATTTTTTGTATCCAAATGAATCCAGGAATCAAATTACAAGCTTGTGAATCAAAATCTATTAATGAAATTTGTCTCAATACCTAGCCTTAATTAATAGTCAGTAATATTATCGATTTAACTGCACTAAAAAAAGAAAAAATAAATGCCATGAAATGCTGTTTAAGGCAATTCATAATGTATTATGCACTTGAAAGCTGATTTAATTCTCACTTACATTTGACAAAATGTTTTTTTCTCTATAAGGGCTACTGGATCTTAGTGCTGCGTTCGACACTATCAACCACAACATTCTTTTGAGTAGACTACAAAATTATGTTGGCTTTAGTGGAATTTCATTGTCATGGATCAAATCTTACTTATCTGACCGTCAACAATTCGTAGCAGTGAATGACGAGATATCATATTGATCACAAGTACAGTATGGAGTACCTCAAGGCTCAGTACTAGGACCGTTGCTTTTCACACTTTACATGTTACCCTTGG